CCCCCCCCCCCCACGGAGGTGCAATGATTTCCGCACCTTTCCTCTCCCCTCCCTGGGCCTCTTAGCCTTGGCAGGAGCGACCTGTACATCCTTCCCCAGCCACCCAGTGGGAAGCAATTAGAAATTCATGGACAGATGATGCCCAGCGCAATGTTTCTGGCAGAGCAAAGCAAATTCTCTGAAGGCCTCTGGAAAAAGGCTCTAATTGTGAGCACTGCCAGTACAGCCCCTGGGGCACTAACACCAAGTAACAGGCCTATTCTAACACTGTCTCAGAGGGCCCACGTTTAAAGTTGCTGTGGTGGGGCTCAAAAGACTATATCGTTCAACACTTTGTTTTTTATTTAAACTTTTTATTTTGAGATAATTGTAGATAACTCACATGCGTTTGTAAGAAATCATAGGGAGATACTGTATACCCTTGACCCAGTTCTCCCCAATGGTAGCACCTTCCAAAACTATAAGGCAATATCCCAACCGGGATTTTGACACTGATACAGTCAAGATTCAGAGCATTCCCATCACCACGAGGATCCCTCCGGTTGCCCTTTTATAGCCATGACCACTTCTCTCCTGCTCCCACGCCCTCCTTAATTCTTGGCAACCACAAATCTGTTCCCCATTTCTTCAATTTTGTCGTGTCAGGAATCCTATATAAATGGAGTCATAGAGTATATAACCTTTGGGGACTGGCTTTTTTTCAACTCAGCGTAATGCTCTGGAGATTCATCCAGGTTGCTGCCCGTATCAATAGCTTGTTCCTTTTGGTTGCTGAGTAGGGTCCCATGTTATGGATGTGTTATAACTTGTCCCTGTTGAGAGACCTCTCAGTTGTTATCACATTTTTCATTTCTAGATTGTTTTTCCAATTTTTCCTTTTTCATGGCATCCTAATTGTTTCATGGATGTGATCAAGTCTCACATCTCTGAGGACACCGATTATAATTTTTTTAATTGTCTGCTCATCCCTGCGTTAATTCAGTTTCCCCAATGTTCCTCTTCTCAGTTTGTTTTGGTTACTGTCTCTCTCTGGTGTTGAAGGTTTCTCTGAACTGACTTATGATCCTAAGTAAACCATTCATATTTAAGTGTGACACTAGCAAGCTGATTGGCAGCCGTAGGTGTGTGGACGGGCTCCACTTGGTGGTTGTCTGCTGGGGGAGCAGGTGGCCATCCTGATTTTTCCCTAGGAACCCCAAAATGTTAGTAATGAAGGTCTTGGTGGGGGGCAGCTCAGTTTCTCAAGAGAATGAACCTGTCGTTCACAGGGAACACAAGCCTGGCTCCTGGCTGTCTGGAGCTATGTAATCATGTACAGAAGTGCATTTCACTTCTGTTTTTAGGGTGGTCCCTCAACCCCACTTTTCTCCACTTGGCAGTCCCAAGACAAGAGCGTCTCTGGCTCACCTCCTTCAGAGCCAGCCTGCAGTATTCTGGGGAGGCCAAATGGGGGATGCCCAGATGAGACGGACTGGGCCTGGCTGGGTCTATCCCCTCTTCTCACAGGGTTGGAATAATCCCTGCCTGTGGCTCCGCACTTCATGTCCACCTCCCATGGTACCTCGTTCCTCTAGCCCCTGAACCTTTCTAGAATTCTAGGGGACAAAGAAGCTGCTTCCTTCAGTGCCACCCCCATTCCTTTCCTGTCAGCCTACCTGCCACTCTCCGCCTGCTTTCCACCCTCACATCTGGCAAACCCAGGTCACTGAAGATGGAATTTGTTTTTTTTGTTCTTATTCTTGATTTGGGACAAATTACTTGAGATGGAGATATAGATGCCTTTATTCTATCATCTTGTAGTTGCCATTTATTTTAAAAATCCTTCTCTAGTGCTTTCTTAAAACTACACACCTCCAAAACTCTCTTGGGGAACCGCAGGTGAAAAAGCAAGTTTGGAAGCAGCTGTCCTCTGGTGGTCTCTATCCCCACAGCCCTGCACACTTGCTGGTGCCTCTCTTCTCTTTTCCAGATCTTTCTAAGGAGGGAGGCATAGCTAATGGCTTGGTGTTTTCTGTGTGCCGACTAAGGAACCGTGGGAGGTGGTCAGTTCTTCCCTTTCTCAGGGGGATTAACTGAGGCCCAGTGAAATCAACTGTCAGGAGGCCAGGTGAGAAGAAAACTCCTTTGGTCTGATTTCTATTTCAACGCTCTTGTGTCTTTCACCACTGCATTTAATACAACCCTTCATTTCTTCTCTTCTGAGAATTCATTCACTCACTCATTCATTCAGCACTTAAACTGAGGAATATAAGAATCAGCGAAGAGGGAGTTCCCTGGTGGCCTAGTGGTTAGGATTTGGCACTTTCACTGCCATGGCCTGGGTTCAATCGCGGTCAGGGAACTGAGATCCCTCAAGCTGTGCGGCACGGCCAAAAAAAAAAAAAAAAAAAATTAGATTTAAAAAAAGACAAGCAGAGAAGACCCTGTGATGCGAGCCCCTAGGGGTCTTACACTTCTGTCCAGCCCCTCAAGCTCCCACTCTTCAGTGAGAAGGGGCCCTGACCCTTCAGCCAGGCTGAGGAACAAGGGATCGACCGTGTTTAGCTCCCACTCTGTGCCAGCCACTTACTTGATGTCTTATATATTTTCTCTCACTTCGTTAATACTCTTAACCACTCTGTGGGGGTAAGCGTCATTATGGTTTTAGATGAGAAACTGCAGTGGAGAGAACTTCAGAGCATAGCTCTGCCTGAGTCCAAGGCTTGTGCTGTTAGGAGGCGGCCTCTCTCAAGTACACTTATCTTCATTTTAGAGATAAAGAAACTAAGGTGCAGCGATGTTTCTTATACATTCTGAGAAATCCTTGAGGTGAACACTGAGAAGGCCAATGCCTCACAAAAGGGAGAGGAGATAAAGGAGGTACGAGAGGGAAGGGTAGACCATGCTCTCTCTGCCCCTAATGGTGCAGGCCCCTCTCCCACAGGGAAATTTCCTAAGAGGAAAAGTAGGCCAACAGGACCGCAGAGGCCAGCATGGAATAATTTCAAATAGCAGCCAGCTGTGCAGGAGGAAAGAGGTGTCTGGTCTGGGTGACTCTACCTTGTAAGAATCGGCTTCTTGCTCCCCAGCTGCCTCGCTCCCTAGCTGCCAGCAGTGCGAGGTCCTTTCAAGCGCGAGCCTGCTCACTAGATCCATCTAGAAGGGCAGCTCTGGATGAAAAAGGGCTTTCAGGCAGGGGGTGGGGCTGGGGGCGCAGAGGCAATGGTAACTTCTTCCCTTGCTCACTTTTCAATTGGCAGAACAAAGTGTCATTTCCAAAAAGCCAGGGAAGACTGTGCTTTTTGCTTGGGCCAGGGAGGCTTTCAATAACACTAATTAAATTTTCTGGCAAAGAAAAACCAGTCACCAGACTCAAGGAGAAAACCTTGTATTTTCCTGAGCTAGAGAATGCAGTCATAATCTGAACTTGGCCAGAGAAGGAAGGTCCAAATAAGTGATTTCATTCAGAGGAAAAAAAATGCCTAAAAGGGAAAAGTGACTGTGAATCCTGGGAATCTACCCCTGCAGAAAGGAACGGGTTAGCTCCGGGGTGGGAGCCCCAGCACCTGGGATGGAGAAGGCACGTGTAAACTTCTGCATTAAACCAACCGACCCTTCGTGTGGTAGGAGAAGCAGCCTATGTGGACAAAATCAACTGCTCTTTCTTTTGTTTCATCGGTTTTATTAGTCATATATCCAGAATTCATTATATAAGTCTTTCAAAATACTAGACATTGCAAGAATAGTTTATAATTCAGCTCTGATTGCACAAATACTTGACACGAAACCATTTTTACAAATACTTATTTTTCTTGTAAGAATACTTTGGTACAGAAAATAAGTCTCTATATATCTTACAGCAAATTTTATGCAGTTTTTTTTCCCATTCAACCATCATTTCAGGTTTCCTATCACAGCACATGTGTCACATCCCATCAACCAAATTATAATCTGCTGCCGCTGCTTGTTTTCAATTACTATTCACAATGTTAAGAGTTTTTAGGCTTCTTTTTCTAATCTTTCCTGACCTGAAAGAATTCACGTATTCAGGCTAGAAGAGGTAATTTAAACAACATTCTTTCTAAATCTAACTTGCATTGGGTTAATCGCTGTGCTTGGTGAACAATCTTTACACTTCTCACTTACGCTAGACCAGCTAGTAGCTCACCCCTGCTGTATCAAGCAGAAGGGATACAGTCCTTTCATTCCTAAGAGCTTCTAAACTGCGAAACAAAACCCGAGAAACAAGAGTTAAATACAAATACTTAGAAAGCTATAACATTTGCTAATGATGAGAAGTAGAGAACACTTTTAGACTCGAGGTCCCTCCTAGGTTGAAGAAGACATAGAAGAAAGCGTAAGGATGTGGCAGGAGTTTTATAAAATATTGAAAAACTGAAAAAGGTGAATCACTTAGGTCAGTGGTGCGCTGTTTCCAGAGTGCCAGGAGATACAGAATCTTAGACTCTGCGGCTAGCTGAACTATTTGACATTCTTCGAAATAGATGCTGTGGCTTTGAAATAGCCTAATAAATACTCCCTTGGCCAGAACAAGTAATCATTTAGGCCAGGGGAACTTTACAGAATACTGACCACGTTTCCTGAAGACAGGACCCGCCAGGGAAAACATGTGGCATTCATTCCATTCCTTCAGTTGCTGAAAAGTGTGTCCAGTTATAGCAAGAGCTTGTCTCCCTCTTCAGGTAGCATGAATTAAAACCAAGAGCCTGGCAGCATTCTCCAGTCTAGTTCCTGAGTGCTCAGCGCCAATTATCCAATATTCTTAAAAGGATTCTTTAATCGAGCCCTTGTCCAATAAGAGATTTAATAGTACTTGGGGACTACAGTATGTCCCATTTCTCTGCTTTTTGATTTCTCTTGATTTCTCTTTCTCACCCCAGTGTAACAAGCTCCTACAGGTTCAAAACACCGTAGCAGTATTTTGGAAACGAGTTATTTTGCATTTTACCGAAAGTGTTCGATCACATTATAACGCTTCACATTTGCATCTAACTGGGAGGTGGCCACATCGTGTCTACTGCAGTGATTTTGCGAACTCGGCATAGTCAATGTATCCGTCATTGTTCTTGTCATCGTCTCTCAAGACACCATCTATTAAGCTGATCAGTTCATCTTCGTTCATTGGTGTCTGTTCATTCCCTCCCTACAAGGTACAAATTAGACAAGGATGAGCGGCATCTTTTACTGGAAGCGCTTGGTTAATGTCCAAAATAAAATGTCAAGAAACTCCTTCAGACGCAGTACCTCTACTTCCAGGAGGCCACAAACCACACGTCAGATCCAGAGTCAAGTCATAATGATCCAATTTAGAAATGACTTTTGGCAGTTAAAAGGACGATACAATCAAAGTAAGCCCTCGCTTATTTGTTTTAAAAATTACTTTTCATTCTTTTCTCATTACAAAAGTCATATGTGTTCACTGTAGAAAGCTGGGTCCACACAGAATTCTGAGCTTCAGAGATTCCAGGACCCGCAGCCCCATCCTAGAGAAAAGCTCACAGCCCAGGCCCTCCTGAGGATCAGCTCTGCTAAAGTGGAAACAGTCCATGCTAGACAACATCTTGGGGTCAGAACAAGACGAAGAAGGCACTGCCGACCAGTAGACCTCATCATGATCTTTGAGGTGAAGGCATTTCTGCTCACAGGGCTGAGCGCTGAGCTACTGCTGTTCACGTCCTCAGCTGATTCTTCCCCTGCCTCCTCTCCCACGTCCCCCTTCCCTCTCCTGCTGCCACCAGCATCCTCGCCTGCCAGGGCTGCTGGACCCCAGTCCCTCTGCCTGGCATCCGCCCGTATGCCTCCCACAGCAGACCCTGCGCTCGTCATGCCAGCCTCCTGTGCGAGCCCTAGCGCTCCCCGCAGCCTTCAAAGCAAACCCCGCCCGGCTCAGCTCGCAGCCGTGCGAGCACATGCCCTCCCTGCTCTCTAGAGATTACAGTGTGGCACAGTGGGACAGACGTTAGATCTGGAGACATAAGATCTGAACTTCAGCTTCCTTACCTCTCAAACTGGGGGGCAATAACAAGGCCTGCCCCTTCCTGCTCCCAGGCTACTGCAGTGATCAAACGAGATCTCTAACCTGCCGGAAAGTGCTTTGTAAACTACGAGCACCGTACCGTATCACCCAAACGCTCAATTATCACCAAATCCCTTGAGCCCTTGGTCCCCTGACTCGCCATTCTTCCCAAATGAGATAACTTCTCCCCTCTTCTGCATTTGGAATGTGGTCTGTCTTTTAGCTGGTTCTCAGATGCTGGCGTGCAGCAGAAATGCCAGCGGCACTTGCTAAAGATAAAAGGAAAGCTCTGGGGCTTCTGCCTCAGCCCGTCACCCTGTATGAGAAGGACCGCTGAACAGGAAAAGAGGCAGAACAGACGGTGAGCAGAGAAAGGAGAAGCAGCAGTAGTGTTGCACAAGGACGGGGGAGGTCATCAAGCTCGGGGACTGAGTTACCAGAGGGAGGCTTTTCCAAGGTGCTGTCTACTGAGCCATTGCCTGACCTACCTCCTTATGGACATGAGTGATGGCTGTGGAGAGTTCTAGGCCGTCAAGCAAATTATTGCCGTCATAATCATGCATTTTGAAATAATGGAGCTGCAGTTCTTGTGGGGACATCTCTGCCTCTGGTTTGTTGACGACACCTTCTAGATGCTCCATGATATGCCTAAAGACCAACAGTGAGACTCAGACCACTTGGTGGCGATGCTGGGACCCTACCAAAATCTTAAGGACTCTGAAACGTTCAAGATCTTAAATAAAGTTCATCCATCCCAGAAAAACAAACATCAACAGTGGCAGACCACACTCAAGGAAGACAGATACAGGCAAGGCCCTGAAAGGAGCAGGGGAAAAAAAAAAATCAAATAGTTCATCTGTTATGCTGGCAAGATTATGGGTGTTTCTCCTTTTTATTATTAGAATATTGTTATAGCATTTTGGGGAGCTATTAATTTTTTTTTTTCTTAAACCAATTTAAGGATAACAGAGTATAATGTGTGAGGCTAACTGGCCCAGGGCAAAAGTGGCAACAAATGATTCAATGTTTGAACATGCCAATACAAAAGGAAAAGGTCTTGTCAGAAGCAAGAAAAGCTCTATTTTGGACTCTGCAACTACCACTGTGTGTGTGTGTGTGTGTGTGTGTGTGTGTGTGTGTGTCTGTCTGTCTGTCTGTCTGTCTGACTGTGGTGAAAGAGAGAGACAATGAATTCAGGCAAGTCATTTATCTCTTTTGGGCCTCAAGATCCTCCATCTGTGATATGATGGTGACAAAAGAATACCTGACTTACAGGTGGCTATAAGGAATAAATATCATCCTTGGAAAATGTTAAGGGGTCGTACAAATAGTCGAAGGAAAGTTGGACAGCGTGTGCCTTTGCAGCTGGCTGCAGCTGCAGATGGGGAGGCCCCTGGACCACAGCCCTGGTTGAATACGTACTCTTGGTCATGCACTGTGCTCTTATCCAGGCCCACGCTGCTGGGATGGGAGAAGCTGGCCCCGGGCTCCTCGGCCCTGGCACCCAGGGCACAAAAGGCCCAGAGCAGGGCGCACAGGAAGGGGGTTCTGAGTAGCTGCAGAGATCTCATGGTCACCGGTACCTGGGAGGTGGGGAACACAGAAGATGAAGGTGAGAACACCAGAACTGAGGTTCTTTCTAGACTTGACACAGCGCACTCCTGGGAACCTGGGTGAAAAAGCAAGGCTGGGTAAGAGGAGGCCTGGGCCCAGCTGGGAAAGAGGAGGCCTGGGCCCAGGACAGCTCTGACGCCAGACTGCAGGGTGACCTTGTGTTCTCCAGGCCCCCATCACTCAAATGGGAAGGCAGGTCCATGACATTTCCTGACGCCCCTTTGGAATGCCAAGCAACTTGACGAGAGTTTATAGGGATTTGGAGAGTATTCCTGCGTACAAGCAGCTTACAGTCTGGCGAGAGAAATACTTCCTACTGAGAGCACGAATCAAGGCACAAAGTGATAGATTAAACCCTCTGAGAGTTCAGAGGAAGAACTTTCCTTTGGGCGAGGGAAGGCCAGAGAAGGTTAACAGACATGGGGATACGTCAGCAGGGCCCGGATGGATGGGCACGCAGTGGATGTGCAGGGACTGAAGGACGAAGGGAAGGTGCGAGCAGAGTGTGGCAGGTGCAGACAAGTGGGAGAGAAATTCCAAGTGGTTTAGTCAGGCTGGAGCTTAGAGGGTATGAAATAGACGGAATGGTGGACAACAGGCTGCAGAGGTTGACCAGGCCGTGCTGGATGTGGTTTTGCCCGCTCGGCCAAGGGGGCTGAGGTTTCCTGGGGATAAATGGGAGCCACTGAGGGCTCATGAATGGGAGACGAGATCAGAGCTTGGTTTCACAGTGGCTCAGCTGGCAGCACAGCAGGGAAGGTAGTAGGTGGAGTGAGTCCAGAGATGGGGGTTGAGGGAAGAAATGGGGCGGGTCAGATCAAGGCCCGCAGTGGTGGACACGGAAAAGAGGACGTTAACCCTTGCCTTGTCCACCTCCCAGGGCCGTGACGGAGGCAAGTAACTGAACCAGGTGAAAGCACACTGCAGAGGACAGTTCCATAGGAATTAGGTTCCGTCAAGTACTTCTGGGGTTTGGCTAGACCTGGAATCGTGGTCAACAAGAAGACACAACTGGCTACACAGCAAGCTCCCCAAGGGCAGGAGTGCTTTGTTCCCATCCGTATCCCCACCAAGGCTCAGGCCTTTACTAACTGCTGTTAAACAGAAAGTCCTGGTCTTTCCAGGGGCTTACAGACTGACCTCAAAAAGGAAGGTGAAGGACAGCCAGGAGACCTCCATACAACGCAAAGGAAACACCTGACTCACACATTCACTTCCCTGGATAATAAGGGCCAGTGATTTCTAAGGGGCCAGCTGCAGCCAAAAAACCTAGAGCAGTGAAGAGAAAGCATAAGGTACTAGTCAGACCCTCGCACATGCCACACAGAGCTCAGCTCTGAAGCCGCCGCTATCTCCACTGAGGTGTTACAGCCCCTCTCACCCGCCCTGAAAGGCTCTGTAGGGTAGGACCCTGGGAGAATGCCATCCCCACAATGCTTAAGAAAACTTCCCAAACCCACTTTGCTGGATATCAGCAGTATCCTCCCTAAGGAGACAATGGTCACTGGGATGTATAACTTCTAGGGTATAAAAAGAAGCATCTAGTCTCACAACTGAATAAGGACATCATAATGCAATCGTCATAATTCATAAAAGAAACAGAAAAAGATGCTCAATATATACCAAGAGAAAAAGAGCAGGCTATGAAAGTCTGTAAAGAATAATTCATTTTTGGGGAATTCCCTGGCAGTCCAGTGGTTAGGACTCAGTGCTTTCACAGCTGTGGGCCTGATTCAACCCCCGGCTGGGGAACTTCGATCCCACAAGCCGCGTGGTACAGTCAAAAAAAAAAAGAATTCATTTTTGTAAAAAGCAAAACAATGTATGTATATTTCTCATACACAGAACAATGACTAAAAACTATTAACAAAGATTATTTTCTGAATTATGAGATTAGGAGTAATTTTTTTTTTTTTTGCCCATGCCATGTGGGATCTTAGTTCCCTGACCAGGGATCTAACCCACGCCCCCTGCAGTGGAAGCTTGGAGTCACTGGACCACAGGGGAAGTCCCCAGGAGTGATTCTGATTTTTCTTCTCTTTACTTTTCTATTGCTTCTAAAATTTCTACTATAAACATGTTTTGTCTTTACAAATGTGTATTCAATGCAATTCATCCCATAATTTTGTTCCAGACTATATGGATGGAATAAAAAGGGGGATTCCAGTTAAGTCTCATCTCTACAAAATAATTCAGGAACAGCCAGAAACTACATCCCAATCTTACCAAATAAAAGTGTCCAGACCCTGATGAGGCCACTGTCACTGTACCTGGTACCAGAAAACAAGGTCTCAAGTTACTCTCAGCAGAGACTGCCCCAACTAGAGCAGAACAACTTGTCCTGACCACACACCATAGAGTTCTGGGACAAGAGGGACCAGAGGGGCAAGCCAGCTCCTCCCAAGTCTTTCAGATTCATGCGCATTAGATGTCTCTTCCTCCAGCAAGCCTTCTTCAATTCCAAGTCTGGCTTAGGGGTTCTTCCCATATGCTCCTAAGTGATTCCCTTCAGAAGGGTCCTGTCCGTCACTGACAACAGCTGTGCACACGACCTTGAACATGCCTGATTACCTCTCAGTACCCCCTGTGGAACTGGGCTCTGTGAGGCCGGGGACTGCATCCACATCCCCGGCATTGGGCACAGTGCCTGAACAGAGGCTGGTGATTCTCAGCCTGTGTGCCACGGTCCTCGGGAGCTGGGGGGGATTACCACGTTCACAGGTAACGCTGCCAAGTTTTGATGTCAATGTAACTGAGGATGAAACTTATTTTTGGAGGTATCTATCAGATAGAAAAGCTGAGTGGTCATCGGACCCATGGCACCATTTCCTATAACTATGTGGTTGGATACTTAGTATATCAGATAGGGGTGGGGTAGGCGGGGGAGAGGTTCTATTTAAATAACACCAAAAAGCAACCAAGTGCTTTAGTCCAAATTATCCCCTCTTCATAGGAGACAGGATAAAGGTCAAGAACCATACATTTTGGACTTACCCCATTTTGGTCTGCTGTGGCAGGTTTCTAACCATTAGACCACAACAAAAGTCAAATCTACAAACACAGAAGAGAAACTCCCCCTTACAAGTGCTACAAGGAGCACAGGGAATCTGACTGCCACTTAACAAATTAAACTACTCACACTGAAAAGGAAATATTAGCAAGTCCCTTCCACCAAAAGAACAGAGTTGCATCATCCACACTCCAGCTACTTAGCTCAAGGCCAGAAGCAAAGAGCTTGGCAGATAAGCCCCAGGAGTTCCTGGGCTCACTGGCCTCTGAGAAATTAAAGGCTAGGCTGGAGAAAAATCCAGAGGAGAGATTTCTGAGAGAGTGTAACACAACCACTGAGACACCCTTCACAAGGAGAAGCGTCATTCCTGGGAGGAAGCGCTAGACCACTGATGGTAGGGAGCTCCCGCAGGGCCCTGACTGTAACAGGGCTTCCCTCACAGCTCCAGCAGCCTCTTCCAGTCCCAGAGCATTTGTTCGCACTGTTTCCACCTGTCCGTCCTCCCTGTTCCTTCCAGGCCCAATTCAAATGTCACCTCTGTGTTCTCCCAGCCAAGACCAACTGTTCTCTCCTCTGACCTCAGTCTGCAGCCTCTCACACTCACTTGGCCTTAACATGTGGTTACATATTGTGCTCCGTTTGTTTTTCTCTTTTCTCTCCCTCTCTGAGGACAGGGAACCTATTTTCTCTGTCTCTCCTTTACCCTAGTGAATTTATTACAAAGTGCTGAGCTGACCTGGCATAGCACACCTTCACTCTGAATCAGGGCAGTGGATCCTGCAACCTAGGTGTGTTGTTCCCTATCACAGAGGATCTGACTACACTAAAAAAAATAACTTCCCTTTGGAGCCGTCCCACCACTGGTTTGGCCAGGCCCACACTCATTGTGTCTTACCAACACCTAAGAGTTTGCAGCGAGCCTTCCTCCCATAAAAACCACAGCAGCTGCCAGCCACTTTTCTCTCATGCTGGGGCCCTCAGCTGAGAATCAACCTCAAAGCAGCCACACATTCTGTAGCCAGAGGCGATGCCAAAGAAAAACGTGACTGGCATTTCCCCATTTAAAACTACCATGGTCCTGGACTGAAAGCAAGAAAAGAACCAGGTTCCTAGGCAAAGAAACCTCTACATGGGTTGGGGATTGAGAACTGGTTCTGAAAAAGGAGGCATTTAATAACTTGATCTCTTTGTTCATTTGGGGAGCCCAGGGAGCTGCCTTGCTTCATTTATACATTTAACTAACACTCTTCACTAACAGCTTGGTGCTGCACAAGGTTCTAAGGATAGGGCTGTGAACCAGACAGGCTCCTGTCACACAGATTACAGCCTGCTGGGAAAGAAAGACCAGTTCATGCAACAGCCCTGGGGTACCACAGAAGTCCCAACCCACACCTGGGTTAATGCATGAAGGATGATTTTTTTTCAAGGTGCTAAAGGATAGCACCTCAGGTAGAGGGAACATAATGTAACAAACACCTAAGCCTAGAAGGAACTTGATCCAATCTGGGAAATAAAAAGCGTTCAATATGGTTGAAGACACAGTATAGTGGAGATGGATGAGTTAAAGTAAAAAGAGGACAGGTCACCAAGGGCCTTGTAAGCCCTGTTCAAGAGGTTATAAGAGCAATGGGAATCCACGGAAGGGCGATAAGGGAATGGGGAGAGGGGTCTGGTGACGTGATCAGATTTCTGTTTTAAGACCATCACTCTGGCTTTCCACTACATAACAAACTACAGAGGATGGAGAAGGGATACAGGGGACCAGTCAGCAGGCTACTGAGTAGTTCAAGGGAAAGATGAAGGTGGCCTGAACTAGCTAGAGCAGAGGAACTGGGCGTGGAGAAGTGGGTGTATCCCAGAGAGATTTGTGATGGATTCGATGTGGGTGGGTAAAGAGTGTAGGAGGTGAGAATGACGCCCAGGTTTCTGCTTGGGCAACTGGGTGGATGGCGGGTGCCATGCCCAGACAGGGAATACTAGACGGGAATACAAGCTTTCCCCACCTCCCCACTCCCCTGGCACGGCCTGGCCAAGCTCGCCCGCCCGACAGGACCTGTTTATTGTCTCCCCCAGAGACAGATGGGGTACAGGAGCAGATGGAGAGCTACGACGCAGGCCCGCGCGCAGGTCCACGGCAGGTCTCCAAGAGGGCAGAGATTGGCCCTGATCGGGCCCATCTGCCCCGGGGGAGAGGCTCTGCTCCTAGTCGGCTAGCTTCCCGGACCGACTTGGGGTCCGATACCCTCACCCAGGCCGCTCCTGCCTCCCAACCTGAGCCAGAAGCCCCGAGCCCCCCGAAGGGACGCCGGGATCCCGCCCCGCTGCGGACCCCTGAATGCCGTCCCACGGACTTCGTCCTCCAAGGTCGGGTCACAGGCCTCACAGGCCGCAGCCACATTGCGGCTGCTCCCTGGTTCACTCACCCTCGCAGCTAGCAGTTGCCAAACAGCTTTCTCCGGACACGAAGCCCTACGGCGTGAGCCTCGCCAGCACCCGTCCTCAGAACGCTTTTCCTCGGCCCCGCCCCACCCACCCCTCCCCGTCCCGCTGTGCGCACGCGCACCCCTTCCGCCCGCCCATTGGCGCCGCGGGCCCCACCCCTGCCCGGCACCTGGCAGTGTGGGCTGCTGGGCTGATTCAGCGTGTAACGGGCTCAGGCCCAGTAAGGGCTGGGCGGAGGCATTTTTTTCTACCTTCCTGAGGGAGACACTCGGTTGGGCCACCTGAACCCCCGGAGTCCCCGCAGGTTGCTAGGCAACCCCGGAAGCCCCCAGGGACGTAGTAGGGCGAGGATTTATGGTGGCGAAAGCGGATGCAGCGGGTGTCAAAACTGGCTTTCAGCTCCAACTCCACCTCCACCTCCACATTTACAGGTTTCTGGGTTCCTCTGACTGCAAGTTGGGAAGAAAGATAATAGCGTAAAGGAAAAAAATGTTGCGTGCCATTCCAGTTCTACAAGGATCAAGCCATTAGCCACTGCAATTGACCACCAACAGTGTGCCCCGAGGGGAATTCAGATGGAGGAAAACAGGAAACTTTCTGTACTTTGGATATACTGGTCCTTAGATAGGTAAGATGCATCTCTAAGGAAAAATTCCAAATAACCCCAGGAAATATGGAACTGCTGGGGGCTCAGCCAGGGACTGAAGAAGTTGCAGGGACTTGGTTGAGAGACCCATGTCGGGTGTCTGGGAACTGGGAGAACAAGGCACCCGGGCTTCCTATCTTTTTATGTGTTGGCAGAATGAAGAAATAAACATGGATGGTGAAAACATGGTCTAGGATCACTTAATAGCTTAATAGCCCGGAGAAGGCACTGTTTTTCCATTGAAGTTCAGAAATCTTTATTTCCTCCCTTCCCTGACCATGTGGCAAGAGAGCAGGGGCTTCGTAGGATAGAAGAAACCCTATTAATTCCAGGCTCCTTCCCCTGAAGTTTGAGTTAGTTAGATCTAGTTCATTTTTCAGCCCTCCCTCTGCCGTGCATCCATTCTTCCATTTTCTCATTTATTCATTAATTCAGTAACATTTCTTGAGTACCTCCTAGGTACTAGGCACTGTGCTAGGAGTTACCAGAGAAACAAATACAAACAAGATATGGTCTCTTCCTTCAGCAAGCTCAGTGTCTGACGGATAAAGCATTCTCATTCTATTTAACCAACGCTTACACTTTTTCTATGGATCTTATCCTCTGTCCTCTCTCTCTCCCTCTCGAATCACCAATTACTCCCCCTCTAATAGCCCATCCCCACGATCATTTAATCTTGCTCTGGTTTCTTCCCCACTACACTGCTGAAACTACAATCTCCATGCAAATTCAGTGGTGCGTCTCCTCGGTTTTTACTTGCCCTCTCAGTACTATTCCTCACAGTCAGCTATCCCCACTTTGAAACACCTTCTCCTCTTGTTTTCTGATGCCATGTACTCTTGGTCCTCCTCCTACCTCACTGACTATTCTTTCTTGGGTTCTTTTCACTGACTTCTCATCTTCTGCTCAACCTGTAAATATCAGAGTGCTTAGTGTTCTATCCTTAGTCCCCTTCTTTGTCTCCCTACCCACTGTCCTTCTGTGATTTCATCGGGTCGTATGGCTTTAGCTGCCATTTGCAAGCAGATGACTCCAAAAGGTAGATCTCTAACAATGACCTCTGCCTGTAAGTCCTCACTCCTCTAAACAACTGCTTACTTGACATCTCCACACGAGTGTCTTACTGGCATCACAAATTTAACTTGGCCCACCAAAATATTAATTTTCACCCCCAAACGTGTACCTCTCTGTTTTTCCCATTTTAGTGACTATCACTGCCATCCATTTAGTTGTTCAAGCCAAATTCGAGGAGCTATCCTTTTTGCCCCCTCAACTTTATTGAGGTATAATTGACATCCAGGAAACTATCACCTGCTACCTACCTTCATTCTTGCCCCATTTTAGTCCGTGAGTCAACTGTTTAAGCCATTTATAGGTGAGCGTTCTATAACTTGTAGCTGAACCCATTCCTAACAGGCAAATAACTTGGTACCAGAAGTAGGACACAAAAAAACCAGATACTAAAAGGTGAAATTGGCTAACAGAAGGTTAAGGTAGCCAGTGGTAAAGACTCTATTCCAAATGGAAAGTTGGTGACCTACATGTTAAGCAGTAGTTAAACTGTTGAACTGCTGTCACTTGCTGGACCTTGGGAAAAACCCACATGCCAACCAAAGTTGTATTGCAGGAAAAATCTCAGGAACAATACAGAACATTCATGACTGTTGGCTTTTTTTTTTTTGTTCCTTTTTTAAGTAGCTTTCAGCAAAGTCCTTCAAGAGAGTGGCAAATCCAGATTAGAGATAACTGATTGGAAAGCAGAGATTAAAGAAAATAAGGCCTTGGTGGGAAAGGAACATCTTACCTGCAGTTTACAACCTAAATTATCTGAGTCCCACAATTTGGAGACTTGCTGGGTTGAAATAAACAATTTTCTTTAAATACCCAAGCTGAAGCCAGCACAAATGGAGACAGGGAAGAGGCAGCTTTATCAGGAGAGAAGATGGAGGCCCAAGGTAGCAAAGATGGACTGTAGGTGGCTTCTCTACCTGCTTTGTTTTGAATTGTCTCCACTGCAATTAAGCACACAGATACCAGCCCCTAGAAGACCTAAATATTCTAATAGTTGGTTTTGCTTGTTTTGCAGAAAGAAACATTTGAGGTATACACAAGAAACTAATGAAAGAGAACAGAGGTGAGAATAAGACCTCATTTTATATCTTTTTGTTTGGCTTTAATTTTTAAAAAATCAAGTAAATATATTAATTATTTGGGGGGGGGGAATATAATCTTTCACTAGAAAACCACTTAAAGACTCCCTAGATAAGTTATTTGATTGTGATTACTCATGTATGGAATTGACCAGAAGCCTAACAAATGATTGAGGGAATCATGTGTCCCTAAAATCTCAAGCCTGGTCAACATGGGTCTGTTCCTGTTTAAACAAGGGAAGGGCTGCCAGATTTCCCAACAAGAACTTAATACACTGCCACTGACTAGGGGATACTACGTATTTTCCATTCTTTTTTTCTGAAAGGAAGCGTTTATTATTTTTTCACATTGTGCATTGAATGTGTTTCCCTGTATTTTTTGTTTGGTTTCGTTTCTTACATTTTATTGATGCATGATTGTTTAGAAAAAACACACTTCTGTTTCCCTTTACTCACACACACAATACCTCTGACAGCAGATGTGTGGTTTTTCCCCACACCAAGCAATTCCTTACAACACCAGCTGAGTGTCCTACAATGCAATTCAATTCTGACACTAACTGAAGTTAGTACAGTCCCCACAGGTAAAGGGCTCAGCCCCATAAGACTGCCGCCCACTTCAGATGCCAAGCACAATTAGTAGGTCCCCAGGTTACCCATGACTTCTGTCCGACTTTACAAGTTGAAGGCTCCCATGACTCCCTCCTGGGATTTGATCACTTGCTAGAACAGCTCACAGAGCTCAGGGAAACACATTTACCAGTTTATTATATAATACAGGATATCAGAATGGGTACAGATGAACAGTCAGATGAAGAAATACATAGGGTGAGGTCTGGAAGGGTCCCAAGCACAGGAGCCTCTGTCCCTTTGGAGCTGGGGTGCCCCATCCTGCAGACACGTGGATGTGTTCCACCAACCCAGAAGCTTTCCGAACCCTGTACTATTGGGATTTTTATGGAGGCTTCCTCACGTAGGCATAATTGATCATTAACTCAATCTCCAGTTCCTCTCCCCTTCTTGGAGGATAGTGGGTAGAGCTAAAAGCTCAAAGTGTCTAATCATGATTTGGCCTTTATGGTGATCAGACCCATCCTGAAACCATCCAGGGGCCCACCAAGGGTCACCATATTAGAACAAAGGACACTCCTATCACCAAGGGAATTCCAAAGGATTTGGAACCAGGGTCAAAGGCCAAGTATTAGAATGAAAGATGCTTCTTATCACTTATGAAATTACAAGCGTTTTAGAAGCTCTGTGCCAGGAACCAGGGGCATATATGTAAATATACGGGGTTTTTTTGACTATTATTTCAGAATAGTATACACCAAAGTACCCATACAGAAAAGCATACAGCTCAATAAATTTTCGGAAATTGAACACCCCCATATAACCAGCACCCAGATCAAGAAACAGAACATTACCAACACCCTAGGAGACCCGCTTGTGCTCCCTTCCAAGCACCACCCTCTTCCTAAAAGGTAATTGCTATCCTGACTTCTAATACCACAGAGCAGTTTTACCTGTTTCTGTATTTTCTATAAATGGAATCACACAGTACATACTCTTTTATCTACGGCTTCCTTTACTCAACATTACGTTGAGATTCATTCATAGCATGTAGATTTAGAGCATATTCATTCTCATCTCTGTATGCTATTCTCTTTTCCCTTCTACTGTCAGTGGATATCTGGGTGGTTTCCAATTGTAGGTTGTTATAAATTATGCTACTTTAACATTGTAGAACATGTCTTTTCTTGCACATCTGTTCAGGTCTCTGTCAGGTATTAACCTAGGACTAGAACTGCTGGCTCCTGGGAACGCAGATGTTCAGCTATATTAGATAGTGCCAAAAGGTTTTCCAAGTGGCTGTGTCAGTTTACACTCCAGCAAGAGTTCTGTTGGTCCCCATTCTCTCCAACACTTGGTACATCCCATCTTTCTCATTTTAGCGGAAAATGAACTTGTCTTAGCTTAAATCATCCAACCATGAGAAGCCACATCTGGACCTGAAAGGGGCCTGCACAGTACACAGAGTACCTGGACTCCCAGCTGTATGTAGGAGCTGGCTGGGACTTCAGGATTACCTCCTTTATGGAGTGAGCTCCCCGCATGTCAGGTGTGTATGTGAGAAAGAGGGATGCGCGTGGGTTTCAGGTAACCAAAGAGCTACACCAGGCCAACGCGGATGAGTTTGAGT